AGGGTTGTCAGAGGACACCTTGAGGTCTGTATAATTATGTATAATTTCTCTTGTGATGTACATTTGTGATGTATGAAGAGTAAGCTATTGATTTATTATCCTAGTGAGTACCATTTCCATATTTTTCATTTGCATGTATATTATTACGGTGTTGTGTGGTGAGTCAGTAATTAAGATTGCTGACTGATTGCATAGTGATGTCATTAGCATGTGTGGTATGCTGACGGCATCATTATGTTTATGTGTTTGGGCAGTGTGAATGTTTGGTATACGTTATATTACTGCCCTAGGTGCTGTGTTGATGATTTAAGGAAGTCCCTTTAATTAATCGGAGGAATTCACAGTACTTAATGAGAGAGCAAGCAATTGATTGGTTAATCTGCCTGATTATGAGAATTAGTGCCAGCTGTCACTGTAGACCCCAAATGGGTAAAAGCATTCTCCCTTATATGTTTTAAGGAGAAATTATGTGTTCAAGTGGGAAAAGGAAGCCAGTTGTTTTTCTTTGTGATACTGGTGCTTCCCAAACATTAATTTCAGCCAGTGTACACTCTAATGTTGCAAAGAGAGATGTTGGGGAGTCTGTAGTTCTTCAGTGTTCAGGTGTCAAACTGTACCTCAACATTACCCCAGGCTTATGCACTGTTGGTGTAGTAAACAGTTGCCCATCCCAGGTGTGGATGTTATTTTGGGTAATGATGTGGCAATAAATCATGTTGTGGGGAGATTGATATGTTAACGTAAAGTTTAGTTTTACTGAACCCTAGCTGATTCCACACAGTAGTTCTATTTGTTCCAGAGACCAGTACCCTTTCTTGCAACCTAGTTGTTGAGAGTAAGTCTGGTACTATGTTGCAAGGTTACAGGGGGCAGTAATATGTAGGTATACTTTTGTTGTTTACAAACCGTGTGACTACTGTGAGGGTACAGTAATTACCGTGTTGCAGAGAGCTGCAACCGTATGGGTTGTGAAATTTCTTTTATTATGTCATTGAGAGTGTGACCTATGTAACCTGGGGTTACTTTGTGTTTCTTTAAGTTGTGTTGATGACTTAAGGATTCAGCGAGTTAATTATGGGTAATTAACGTCATGAGAGGTTGCACATTACTTAATGAGGGAGCTGTTAAGGGAAACAGTACTGAGTTTGTTGAGATACGTTTCAGGAGCAATTAGTTGTCAGTGTGAAAACTAATTGACCACTCTAGCTAATTCTGTAATTATCTTTCTCATCGTGAATTCACATAGTGGGGAGGAACTGTTAAGGTCAAGTTTTGGTGAGCATTAATTCCTTAGTGAAATTAATTTGCTCGAGACTAATTACCTTTCACTTGATAGCAATTAGTTGCTCATGATAATTAGTGGAGTAATTAACGTCAAAGGCCTAATGTATTTTGATGTGGCAACTCAGTAAAGCAAGGTCATGGAGCTAGCATAACTCGTTGTATTAATCATATCCTGTCTGGTGACAGTGGACTAAGATGCACTCATGTTAATTAGGGTAATTAACACCTCGTCTGTGAATTCACAGTGTTTGATGAGACCTTCTTAGGCAGTGTGGAGTAAGACATATTTATGTATAATTAATTATCGGTCCTGGTGACAGTTATTTATTTGCTCGAGGGTTAATTCGGGTAATTAACGCTCATTAAAGTAAAGTTTGACATAACCCTGTGGAGAAGCTACCAAGGTAGTGGTAGGCTTAGTTAACGTAACTCGATTGGGATTTAATTAGTTGTCCGTTTGACATTAATTTGGAATTACTCACTGAATACTTGAAGGAATCAAGTGTGATGTAATTTAATTAAGAGACTTTGAGTTATTGTTAACAAGTTGACTTGTGTTAAGAGAGATAAGTGTTGAAGATTAACGTAGAGTACCATCATATTGTTGTCAAAGAGAGACAAGTGTTGATGATTAACGTAGAGTACCATCATGTTGTTGTCTGAGAGAGTCAAGTGTTCGTGATTAACGTAAAGTACTTTGTTGCTAACTGCTGTGGACAGTCAATTAACGTAAATAATCACATAATCAATTTTGTAATTGATTAAGGCAATTTCTCTTTGGTTATCGTCTGGAGACAGGAGTAAAGTAACTTACTGGAGAAGTGTCTCAGAATCCCACCTTGCCTGGCTTTATTTATATTTGCAACTTCTTGCATGGAGCTGCAAAGAGTGTTCACATTAGGTTGTGATAGGTGGAGTGAGTCCTGGGCTCCCGCCTAGTTACGTGAGTATCTCGCCTAAAGGGCTGGAGGACCCGTAAGATTGTGATTATAGTATCTGTTCACTGTGAAGCCGTGAGAGTATTGATTGCAAGCTTGTGTCATCAGTGTGCACCATTGTTCAGTTAGTTCATTTAATCAGCCCACAGTGTGAGGGGCTGTTGAATAGCTGTCATGCAAGTGCCACTGGATGGCCAGTAACGTAACGAATAACTCACTGTTGTCTAAACCTAGTCTTGTGAATTTGGTTTGCAATATTGCGTCGTCAGTGGGCACACCTGTGTTCAGGTTAGTTTATTCAACCATGCAGCAATGGACCGTAGTCGTTGCTATTTCATGGTTGTTAAGTAGCTGTTGTTATAGTGCCACTGGATGGACATTAATGTAACATAAACTCCATGTTGTAGTAGTTTAGTCTCTTGTTAATAAATTGTTTTGTTATAGAAAACGGTCTTTGATGTCAACCCTGCAACCATTATTTTCCCTCCATGTTCTGCTTTATACGATTGTCTGTAAATGTGATCTTTTTTACTGACAGCTGTTCTTGGGAAATTGGAATTCCAATTCATAGCACCACACATCAAAATTAAATTTGGCGTGAGAACCCGTCGGTTACCCTTAATTGGTTTTAACGTTTTTTTTTTTTTAACTAGGAGGAACCAGCGGCCCAAGTGGACATGTCTTCACCCTAGTGGTGGGAGCCTGGCAGTTTGCTCCCGCTTTTCCTTTTTCTATTGTTCTGATGATTAGAGTAGAAATATCTGCTAGGAAGCAGTTCTTTATGTTTGTAGTCCACCTCCTAAGGAAGGTAAGCGTAGAAAAAAATCTCACATAAAGTAGCATTAGTGGGACATAGCCAATTGCCCACAACCTTTAGACCATTACCTCATAATGAGGTGAGAATTTTTAGGTCACCAGGATCTATGTGGTCAGTAAATTAGTCAATACTATCAACCAGCATAAGCAGTTGAGGCTGGCAAGTCAAACTTAGTGAATATAATTATAAATTTTCACTTGTATTTCGAAGTGTACATATTATATATCACGTATATATCAAAAAATCTCCCAAAATAGGACTATTTTGCACAGTTTACTGCACCATTTCTTATTTATATGCCAACCTTAAATGTGGTAGGATATTTTTAGACTGTAATTGTACTAATGTTTGTACAAATGCAGCCTAAACTATTTAGTCATTTCTAAGTAGAAATTATTTAGCGAGGCGATGAGTCACAACGTGGCTAAAGTATGATGACCAGACCACACACTAGAAGGTGAAGGTACGACGACGTTTCGGTCCGTCCTGGACCATTCTCAAGTCGATTGTCTTGAGAATCGACTTGAGTCTGGTCATCTTATTTAGCGAGTACTGTACTAGACAGTGCTGGTGTATATACATATATGATATTCAAATTTGTGCTGACCCTAATTAGGGTGGGCTCTATTAACCATTTATTGTGTATTTATCATATTATCCTGTGTATTTTTTTAGTGCTACTGAAAGTTCACTATCCCGAACAGGGATAGTGAACACAGTGGACAGGGGAGTCCTGTCTGTCCTCACAGGGGAGCCGGTGGCTGAGCGAACAGAACACTGCATGTGTGATCCTGTGCTCCCGGGTTCGATCCCGAGCGCCGGAGAGAAACAATGGGCAGAGTTTCACCCTGATGCTCCTGTTACCTAGCAGTAAATAGGTACCTGGGAGTTAGTCAGCTGTCATGGGCTGCTTCCTGGAGGTGGAGGCCTGGACGAGGACCGGGCCGCGGGGACACTAAGCTCCGAAATCATCTCAAGATAACGTCCCATCAAATGGTGATAACTGATGAGCTAACTGGCCAAGATTCCAATAGTGACATTCAAGTACTAATATTAGTTATCCATTGTTAGGTAGGTAAAACAACCTCCAAACGAGGTGGTGTAGCCTAGTCAATTATGTTAGGCTATTATATTGGTATTGAGCTCCATTAAATGAGCCAATATCCCAGTTACAGTATTAACAACTATTTTCTATCAGATCAGCCTTTAACCATCAAAATGGAAACGGCTGACTGTTACGGCCCTCTCGGGACGCAACGGGGTTCTCACTCTGATGTTGTTAGAGTCAGATATAGATATCCGTTCCCAAGCCAGTAGTGGCTATCAAGGGATGAGATCCGTGACGCAAGTAACTTAAAGGGAGTAGGGAAAGAAAGCTAAGAACTTAATATTATAATTAACACCATCACTGATTAAATATATAAAATAAAAGAGTGCACAAGGGGGAGGGGTATTAACACTTTACAAGGGGATTAATCCACAATCGATGTCTTCTGCTGAAGACGCTGGTGCCATAACTCTCGGTGCCGAGTCCTTGGTGCTTTCTTCGTGGCCTCACAACGAATTCTCCAAAGAAGTTGAGCCTACCCTGGCCACAGGTCAGCCAAAACACAGGTCCACTGGGGGCACCGCCGTGGAGGCCGTCAACCACACGTCCAGCTGGTCTGCTGGCAGGTTCTGAGCCAACAAGGCTGGTACGGCCACTCCACGAACGATAAAAGGGGAACGCCCTAGACAGGAGCCTCGTGTGACACCACAAATCACTCTCCTGTCTTCAGTACCCCAGTGGATGATCGTCTCCAACAGTCGGTCCCGGGTAAATCCTTTTACTGCCACTCCACTGACAGGCTAACACACCACAGTGTTCTTTCGGGGGGACGACGTCACAACAGCTGCAGCAAAGTTCAAGGTATGGAGACTGGCTGCCTCGGGTAGACTGACTCCATTTCCATCCTGACAGAATGAAAAACGCCCTTACAGGCATGAAAGGTCACTTGACCCGACAGATTAACAAATGTCAAAATCTGTCACACCAGCCATCTGTTAACCATATCGAGCTAGAAAACCACCTTGAAGTTGCAGAAAACAGGTTCAAGCAAATTCAAGAACATATGAATTTATACTTGACAGAACTTTACAAAACCTCATTAGGTGAAACTGAACTTGATGACATTGTAAATAATTTAACCCAGTACGAAGAAGATGTACAGGTTAAACTTCAACCCTTCAAAAATCAGATTGCTAAAAATAAATTAACCACAGCCTCTACAGGAATTCCAGAACCTGATGTTAAATTACCCCAGATCAGACTACCCGCATTCTCTGGTGGTGAGAATGAAAGTTGGGATGACTTCTGGAATAAATTTGTGGATGCAGTAGACTCCAAAACTAACATTCCCAAAACAACCAAGTTCACTTATTTACAAGGTTTATTACGAGATGAAGCTTTGAAAGTAATCTCAAACATAACCCTGATCAGTGATGGTTACGATCTAGTTGTTCAATTGCTTAAGAGCAACTATGATAACTAAGAAAGGACTATTACAAATTTAGTACAAAAATTGATAGATCTACCAGCTGCTAACAATTCTACAGATTCTCTACAAACCTTCAAACTAGAACTAGAGTCTCTCCTCAAGGCCTTAAGCCTAAAAGTCCAAATTCAGACTGCTGAATGGATGACAAGAGTAGTTGTAAGGCGTAAATTACAAAGGGAAACTTTAGACAATTTGTGTACTTTGTACAACAAAACCTCTCTGACCATGAACGAGATCACAGAAGGTTTACACACTCTAGTCGAAAGACAAAGAGGCAATCAAGATGGGAAGAGTGTGTCAAGCTTCTCTACTAATTCTGCTTAAAAAACCCCAACGTACTGCCTTTACTGCAGTAAAACCAAATTCCAATGTATCATCTCCCAAATGGAAATCTGGAAATGTAGGTATGTACACAGTGAACCCATCAACTCCAGTAGTGAGTGCAACTCCTACCACAACTCCTACAATGAAGAAGTGTTTGTTCTGCCATAATGAACATCTTACTTACAAGTGTAGCACTTACTCAGACCGTAATTCCCGAATTCATCGTTTGCAAGAATTACACCGATGCACAAAGTGCATGGGTCCTCATGATCGTAATAGCTGTACTGTCTCCTTTCGTATATGCAACAAGTGCAACAAGTGTAGACACCATTACTCCATGTGTGGTAGTGATCAATCAAGATCAACTAATCCTCATAAGAATTCTACAAAATTTACATCTGTACAGTATTGCAAGGTGCATCAAGACATAAGTGTACTTGCAACAGAGTCGTGTAACACAACTACATTGCCAATGGCTCAATTGAAATTAATCACTAAGGGATCTAGGATTTCCACTCATGGTCTCTTTGACTAAGGTTCACAGTAAACCTTTATTTCTCATCAGTTAGTTGGTCAGTTGAAACTGAAGCCTATTACTCGAGTGAATTTAAATATTTCTGGATTCCTAACCAACAGTGGACCTCGTGACTATCAAGTTGTCAAAGTCTTGGTACGTTTAGGAGGCTGCACCAGCCCAATACAAGCTATAGTTGTTACAAGATCTTGACAAGATCCCCTCTGATCTACATGTTACAGGTCTTGCTCACACAGTCAAATTTCTTATATGCAGCAGTATTAGACTAGCGGACCATAAAATAAATACAGACTGTCTCAACGACGTAGGTATTCTTATTGGAGCTGACTACTACTATAGATTAATTACCGGATGCACCAGGCAACGAAGTGTAAACTTGTTATTGTCAGCTAGAGGTAAAATAATCACAGGACCGGTGTTGATCCAACAAAAATCTAAATCTATTAGTAATCAACAAAATAATTCAATAGTGGCGTGACTAGGCCTAGAGCAGTCACCACTACATGTCAGAGACGAAACCGAGGATGATGAGTCTAATCCCCCGTATTCAAATTATGGGATTTGGACATCTAGGGCATAGTCCCTGATCAACCTAGTCCAGACAACACATGGACTTATCAACAATATCTTGATACTGTTATTTTTCAAAATAATCTACATTGGGTGAGACTTCCGTGGAGGCTGAACCACTCACGACTACCAGTAAATTATTTCATGGCCTCAACCCAATTAAATTCACAATTACCTAGGCTACGGAAGCAGCCAGATAAATTGCAACTGTATCATGACTTGATACAGCAGCAACTTACTAATAAGCTTTAAGAAGTTGTTGAACAAGTCAACCATAAATCAAGCCATTACTTGCCACATCATGCTGTCATGAAAGATTCAGTTACGACACCAATTAGGACAGCGTGTCATTAAATGATTGTCTACAAACTGGCCCTAGTCTAACTCAAAGACTACAAGATGTCTTATTACGATTTCGTTCAGGCATTTTCGCCTATACGGCCGACATCAGTAAAGTCTTTTTAGGAGTAGGCTTGCTAGAGACGGATCATAACTTTACTAAATTTCTCTGGGTGAAAGATCCACAGGATCCTAATAGTGACGTCATTACTTATAGGTTTGCCTCAGTACTGTTCGGAGTGACATCTTCACCATTCTTACTCCAGGCTACTCTGGATATACATCTCAAGAAGTTTAATAGCTCCTACAAGTCCGAGATTAGCAACAATTTGTACGTCGACAATTTTCAAGGAACCACTAATGATGAAATTAAACTAGTGGAAATTTACCATGAGGTTGCTCGTGAACTATTAGCAGCCAATATGCCCTTACACTCGTGGGTCTCGAATAACAAACAACTGAATCGGATAATCAAGGAAGAATTCCCTGATTATAAGGTTCCTCACAAATTGAAAGTCTTAGGCATGGAGTGGAATACTTCCACGGACGAACTAAATATTAAGTCAGTAGAAATCAACAATTTACCCCTAACTATGAGAAAACTACTTTCCCATGTCAGCAAGCCATTTAACCCTTTAGGCCTACTCAGTCCTATTCTAATTAAGGGCAAACTCCTCATGCAGGAGTGCTGGCAAAATAATTTGGGGTGGGATGAACCGTTGCCAGAGGATCTCCAAGAAAAATGGCAACAGTTAATTCCAGATTACAGTAAACTTAGCATTCTACAGTTTCCTCGAAATGCCTTAGGACTGAATTTACCCACAAATTTACATGTGTTCTGTGATGCTTCAGGCAAAGCGTATGGCTCTGTAGCCTATCTAGTAAACACTCTACAATCATTTTTGCTTATATCTCAGTCGCGGGTAGCCCCGATTTAAAGGTCATTACCCCAAATGGAATTAACTGCCTTATTAGTAGGTGTAAGACTGGCTCATTTCCTGATCAAAACACTCGGTAATATTAACTTTGGTGAAATAGTAGTGTGGTCAGACAATGAAGCAGTATTACAGTGGGTAAAAAATGACAACAACAAAACTCCCTATGTCAGCAATCGATTAAAGGAAATTCGAGAACTGTCTACTGGTTACAAATTGAGATATGTCCCCACCAAGGACAATCCAGCTGACTATTTATCTAGAGGTTTAACTTTAAAACAATTAGTTAAAACAGAGATGTGGTTCACTGGACCCCAATGACTAGTTAGTGGTAAGTGGCCCCAACAAAAGCCACAAGTCATTGTGACCAATATCACTACTCCTGTTGTAGATCCAGAACCCCCTCGAACATTAGCTATCAATCCTCATCATTACTCCAATTTAGGTAAACTGCTAAGAGTTACGGAAATTTTATTAGACTTCCTCAACAAGATAGGAATTAAATATTGATTTCCCAGTCCAATCAAATACTGGGTCAAACAAGCTCAACAAGAGACTTATGGGAGAGAATATGAACGACTTCCAGATAAATTAACTAAGTCTCTGGGCATTTGGTTTGATTCAAGTAATCATAATTTACTAAGGTGTGGAGGACGTCTGCTTTATGCTGAAATAAATTTAGATGCAAAGAATCCTATGCTTCTACCTCGTCACCACATCATAACTAAACTCATAGTTCTACATTACCATGAACATGGTACATTGCATGGTGGAGTATTAGATACTCTCACTGATCTTAGACAGAAATTATAGCTTCCCCAAGGTCGCCAAACTGTCAAATCCTTAATCAAATCTTGTGTAATCTGCAGGAGGTGTGATGCTCGAGTGTGTCCTTATCCAGGACCTCCACCCCTACCTAAGGAACGAGTTGTCCACCTTCGTCCTTTTGAGACCACAGGTGTCGAGTACACAGGAGCATTAATTTTAACAGGCACCCCAGATAAAATTCCGGTGAAAGCCTATATTTGCCCTCTTCACGTGTGCAACCACACGAGGCGTACACTTAGAAGTAACTTCTGACATGAGTGCTGAAGAGTTTCTCCAAGCCTTTCGCAGATTTGCTGCACGCAGATCTTGCCCTAAATTAATGATATCAGACAATGGATCTAACTTCGTGGCAGGAGAAGCCTGCCTACAAGAAATATGGAACCATCCGGAAGTGCATTCTGTGCTCAAACAGAGACAGTGCCGTTGGAAATTCATTCCTCCACTTGCCCCATGGCAAGGCAGTTTTTATGAACGAATGGTGGAAACTGTCAAGAAATGCTTCAGAAACGCCTTACACCGGCAGAAAATTAATCTCACTGAACTGCAAACCCTTGTCACCGAGATTGAGGCATGAGTCAATAACAGACCATTAACCTATCTGTAAGACGATTTCTCCCAAAGAGAACCCGAGCCCCTCTCATTTGATTCATGGTCATCTTCTGAGCTCTCTAATATCTCTAGGAGACGAGGATCCAGCTGACCCTTCGTGTGTCAGAGCGAGTGACTTAGTGGAGAGTTATAAACATCTTTCAAGAGTGATAGAGAAATGGAATGAGGTCACGTGAATATCTCACTGCTCTAAGAGAATATAACTATGAAACTGCAAGTCCATACAACAAAGTTCGACTCAAACCAGGTGATCTTGTCCTAGTAGACAGTAATGGACCCAGGTCAGATTGGCCTATAGGCAAAATTGTTGATGTCCGTCCTGACTGCCATGGTATTTTACGAATTGTTAAGGTTCAGTGTCGAGGCACTACTACCTTAAAAACGTTAGAGAAAATAGTACCTATAGAGTTAGCAGAACATGAATGTTCTACAGAAGTACCTATAACCCAAGTTTCAGAGGACAGTGATTCTGCCCAACGGAGCACTAGACCATCTAGAGTCGCTGCTCAGAACTGTAAACTGGAACTTAAACAATATTTTCATTCTGCTTAAGTGTAGATAACTCATCATTTAAACATGAGGTGGCCATGCTGATGCAGTGGTGGGTTAACATCCAATAACTCAACAGTTACGAGTCACAGTGACCCTGGACAGTGACCTCATTTTATAGTCGAAGTCTCCTTGATCTTAAATGATCATATTATACATATTTCATTTTTATATTATCATTCTGTTTCTTACAGATAATTATTCAATATTTTCAATGTTTATTTACATTCCCATGATGACTTAGAGTCATATCTGCCACAGATTCGGGACATTCGTTAGGTGCGTACTAACCTACTAACCCATGA